CTCACGGTATTTATTCATTTTTATATAAAGCTTCACCACCGCTCCCAACTCCGTCTGTGATGGTTTGTCCCTTTTTTTAAATCAAATCTCTCAATCTCTCCCTTATACGCACACTTCGTGTTCTTATTTGTGTCGCCGGAGAAATCAAGATTCCGGTCTCCTACACTTTGGGTTCCTAATTTTGTCGCCGGAAAATCAAGAATCCGGTCCCCTGCATCCGAGAGCGATACGCCCGTACATATACACCCTCCGTTTGTGTTAGATTGTTTCTTTTTGGGAAGGGGTGATGCTAAATGGCGAAGGGTCGGAAATTAACGCCGAGCCGGAGCGAGAGGTTCTTGGGCGGCTATAGCGGTGGCCGGGGAGCATTGAACGATGCATCGGAGTTTGTGGAGGACGACGTGTGGGGTACCGTCGATGAAACGGCCAGCGGGGACAGTGGTCCCGACGATGGTTTGACTGGAGACTGGACCCTACGCGCCGACGTTCCGGAGGCTAACGGGACCTACGATAGCCGGCGGCAGATCCCACGCGGGGACCGACACCGCCGCCAAGTCGGCGGCTTGTCATTGGCTTTCGAAGATTCCGGCAGAACGGCGTCGTCCCGGATCGTGCACCAGCACGGCATGGCGGCGTCGGGCGGCCGCCACATGGCCACCTCGGCCCCGGTCAACGTCCCGGATTGGTCCAAAATTTACCGAGTCAACTCGGTGGAGTCACTGGTAGACTCGGACGAGGGGTTGGATGAAAATGGGACAGAAATAGTCCCGCCACACGAATACCTGGCGCGTGAATACGCACGCTCCCGGAATACAGCCACCAACTCGGTGTTTGAGGGCGTGGGAAGAAAACTGAAGGGACGCGACCTGAGCCGGGTTCGAGATGCGGTCTGGAGTCAAACCGGATTCTACGGTTAAAAACTGGAACCGGGTTCGTCTTCAGATTTCACGCGATCGAAATCAGTTATTGGCAATTATGTTGGGGTAAAAATTTGGATTGAACATTAATTAGTATTTACTCTTATTATTGTTTTAATGTTAAATTATGTCCAAAGAAAAATCTTGTGGTGGGTTTTTCTGGTCACAAAAAAAAAAAGAAAAAAAGAAATGAACTGGGAATTCAACTTGGGGAAAGCAATGGCCAGAGCAAGCTGTACTTATTTTTGTATTTATTCGGTCAATTTTTTAACTGCATTTTTTTGTTGGTGGAAAAATAGTTCTTGGTAAATTTGGGGAGCAAAGTGTGATATTGAATAGTAAGGCGCACCTATATTGAAAGTGATTTATGGGCCTAGTTTGGGAGTTCTATCAATTCAATCAAATGGACTGATACAAAATCATTTGGATAGCATACTCTAAATAACGTATAAAATTTTACTCTCTCGTCTCTAAATATTTATTACATTTCAAAAGATGAGATAAAATATTATGTTTTTAAATTTATTTTATTTAAATATTGGTATAGAAATAAAAAAATAAAATTTAAATATTTAAAAAAACTACATAAAAAAATTTTCAAGATAAGAGGTGTAGAGAATATTTTATTTTATCACATAATAAATGATAACGTACAAATAAATAAAAGTTTCTGTGACTGTTGAAAAAAATGTGGCAAATATTTTAGCACGTAGGGAGTATTATTTTTAAAATTATTTCAATTACAAATTAGTATAAAATCGAACATATAAATTATACCATTTACAAGTACCTTAAAGATTTTATAAAATAGGAAGTGACAAAAATATTTTATTTTATCAAATTATTAATGAAATCATACAAAAAAATAAAAATTATCAAGAACTCGTAATAGTGATTACTGACAGTGATATCCATTTTGGGACAGAGTCAGTGTTGTATTAAATTTTTTTAAATTACTCCTGTCGTTCTAAAACTCTATTTTTGTTTCAATTTTAAAGTTTGATTAGAGTTATTTTCAATCTAATTTATTTAATTAATAATGAAAAATTCAAAAATAAAAAATATATATTTAAAAATTACATTAAAAATTTTTATAAAATAATTATTGACATGACTATATTATTTTTCGAAACAAATAACAAAAATAGGTAAAGAAAGAAACTAGAATTTGACCGCGTGAATAAAGATTGTAATGAAAATTTTAAGAAAGTGGAAGAACTAAAAAATAATACTTCATGGTGGAATAATAAGACAAAGGAATAATAACTCGTGATGCCTTTTACATATGCGTAATTTTACCTAAATAGGACTAAAACATAATGACTTTCTCAATATAAGGACCATATGTTTTTATTTCCCAATGTAGGACCAATGGTCATTATCTATTAGTCATTATTCAACTAAATGTCGAGCACCACTTGGACATTATTTTTCTCATTAGTCATTATTAAGTCCTATTTAGGAAATAAAAATGTTTAAGTCCTACATTAAGAAATGACTTACTCCGTATGTTTTAGTCATATTTAGTGCAAGTTTCACTTTACATATTTGGGGAGTCAAATTACTCAACCAGATTGAAATTCGAAGACTCTGGTGCCTTGATCAACAAAATGACTGCTAAAATAACAACTTGGGGACCTAGGCATTTCTCTTATGTTACTAGGGTCAAGGGGATTAACTCATTATTGATGGGGGTGGTTTACTTAGGTCTAGAATATTCATTTTATCCAAAGGTGTAATGAATAAGATTGTGGATATATTTAGAAATTTCTTATGACATGGTTCATTTGAATATAAGAAGGTTCTGTTGGTCCATTGGGATGGTGTTTGCCAACTGAAGAAACATGACAGGTTGGGAATCAAGAATATTCTTCATTGGAATTATGTTGCCATCATGAAATTAAATTGGAATACAAATGAGAAAAGAGATATCCTAAGAGTAAAATGGATACATACCAGGTACATTAAAAGATGCGATTTCTGGAATTATTTTCCTAAACTTGACTTATGCTTTTATTAGAGAGAAATGGTGATGGTTAGAAAAGAGTTTGGAGATGTGCCTAGAGGGAAAGCTTTTGATGTTAGGTCTGGATATGTATGATTGCAAGGAGAGATGCCAAGACCTAATTGGAGAGACTAGGTATGGAACAAATTCACACCTCACAAGTTTCAAATTATCTTTTGACTATATATTTTGGCGAGGGAGATTGCAAACAAAGGACATAATCAACAAGTTTTTAGATATTATTGTAAATTGTGTGGGAAGGAGATTGAAACTAGGCAACACCTCTTTGGAGAATGGGACTTTGCGCAAGAAATATGTAGAGCAGTGTGGGGGAAATTTCAGATGCAGATCAATGCCAAAAATATTGATGGTGTTGGGGATAAATTAAAATTTAAAGAACAAAGAGTGGTAAAATGAAGAAGATTTGGATAGCTATATGGGTAGCTAGCATATATTACATTTGGAAGATAATAAATGAGGCTATGCATCAAAAGAGAAGGAAGATCTGATCAATCTTGTCGTTTTCTATATTTAAAGTAATCTTATTTTCAGGAAAGGCGCTCAGCCCTGTTCGATACTCTTTATATCTAGCCTCCTAGATCCCTGATTCTAAAACTCATCACTTTTGTTTATTTGTGTGTTTTCATTGACTATTTGATAAAATAAAATATTTTATTACTTCTTGTCTTGAAAAACTTTTGATGTATTTTTTAAATATGAAACTTTTTTTTAATTTATATTCCATTCTTTAAATAAAATAAGCTGAAAAAACTTAAAATTTTACTTCATTCATGAGTAAATGATTTAGGGATGGAAAACAATAGGCTCCTGTCCCTTGGCACAATTTTTATGTAAGAAAATAAATTTTATTTAAAATATAAAAGAGGCTTTTTTTCACCAAAGATACCAAAACTTTGAATATTGTAACAAAATGTCAAAAAGGTACTCATCTTATGTTCGTAACAAAATTATGCCACATCTTTAAGAATTGTAAGGGCATCTCCACTAGAGGGGGGAATGAAATGGGAATAAGATGATGTGGAAGAGGAAGCGAAAGAAGAATGATTAGAGAGAGAGTTAAGATGAATAGAAGACAGAGAATAAGATAGAGGAATATTATTGCTCTTAAGAGAAAAATTATTTTATTAATGCATTGTATTTTTAATTTTTTGTGTACTAATGATTGGATGATAAGTGTAAAAAGTATAGTACTTTGTCCCAGAGCATTCGTCGAGATTGACATTTTCGAATCAAATTAGATAAATTTTTAGTCTTAATTAAGTAAAAACTATAATGTATATTAGTATAAAAATAATTTTAATATCTCTAACTTGTTTTGAACTTTCAAAAATTTATTCTATTGTATTAATACGTAATAGAAGTTTAAAGTAATAGATAATTAAAGTTTATCCAGTTTGATTCAAAAAAGTTAAACTGAACGAATACTCTAGGAGAAAAGGAGTAGTAATATAAGTAGATTAGAGTAGGGTGAAAAATGTTTGAGAGGAAAATGATGTGACATCAGAAATGGATGATGAGTTGGCATCCTACGAGACATAATAAATAAAAAAGTGAATAATACCACCTCTGAAATTTATTTGAATTAAAAATAAAAAAAATGAGTCCCTTCCCCGAGAGCTCCATCAAATCTGGCCGGATGGTCACTGAGAGAAGGTAAATAGGACTTTAATCACAGTTTGGTAGCAAAGAGTGGAGCATACATCTGGTACTTGAAAAGGCCATATGCTTAATATAGTATAATTGCCTCCAGTGTAGTTGCCAAGAATTGAAGTCAGGTCTTAAGCCCTTAATATCCCTTGAATACAACGCAATGCCTACTTAAAAATAAAATTAGTCAAATAAAGAACGGCCACTTTAGACGGAATTTAATGCACCCCACCAATAAAAAACGATCTTTTAACAGTGGATTAGTGTGGTACTCTATATGCATCCTGAAAGAGGAATGGAGACTATAATCCTTTTTTAGTGATAATTAGCTAAATCCCATCGAACCCATTGGAAAAAAGAAGCTTAAACAGTTAAACCAATTTAGTGGGGTCTTGACAAAGAAATGGCCAGCTGTTCCTTCTTACTGCTCTCGTCCCCACACCCCCCCCCTCTATGGAACGCCTTATTCATCGTGGCTTCTGAGCTTTGATTTCTGCCATTCCCACTTACCTTTTATCAATCTGCCCAAAAAGGTCACTTCTTTCTGAGAAATTCATCTTCTTTTTCTTGGTTTTCTTGTGTTCTTACCGTGTCAATCTGAATTGGGTGTTCTTGAGAAAGTAGAGTAGGTATGAAACAGTGGGTTGCTAGAAGGAGGCTTATTCTGTTTCTGCTTCTCTGTGAGTGTTTTATGCCTTTTCATTTCTTGCTACTTGAATCAGCTTCTTGAATTCTTGATCTGTTTATTGTTTAAAAAAGGGATTTTCTCTCTTCACTGGATTCTCTTCATAGGTCTTTTAGGGAAATTGTAGGGTTTGTTGTTCTATTTTAATTTGTGGTTCATATTTGTTGCAGTGTATCTGCTCTTATTGATCTCTGCTTCAATTACATTTATTATATATTTCTCAATTCTGACTATTAAGGATTAATTTGTACAGGCCTCCATGGCACCTGTTGTAGTCCATTGAATAATCTCAAGGGTTTTGCAGAGAAATTGGAAAATGGCCTCTTACCTCAGATCTCCCCGAGTTCTCTTCCAGACGCACAGCCCCTTCTTCCTCTTCTAGCACCTTCTCCGTTGGCTCCTTTCACTAATAGCACTGTTGCCCCAAAGCTGTCTGGTTTGTTTCATTTCCAAAATGTGTTAGGGCCTGTTTTGCCCAGTGTAATTTGGCTAAAATGGCCAATTTCTTTCATAATGGGAAAGTGTTTGATAACATCCATTTCAGCCAAATAACTCTTAACATATTTATTTTGCTTAGTCTGCTGAGAAAAAGGCAGAATAAGATTGTCAAACGGCGCCTTAGATTCTGGGCGGATTACTATAAAAATAACTCTCAATTTGTTCATTTCCCTTGTAGGATCATGCCCGTTAAACTTTGTTTCCTTGGAAAGCATGATAACCACAACCTCGATTGATTGTGCTGCTCCATTTGCAAAGTATCTTGCAAATGTCATTTGTTGCCCACAATTGGAAACCACCCTCACCATTCTTGTAGGACAATACAGTAAACACGGTAAAAATGAACTTGCTTTAAACACAACACTTGCAAGGCATTGTCTCTCAGATTTTCAGAAGATTCTGGTGGGTAAGGGTGCCAACAATACACTGCAACAAATCTGCTCTCTTAACCCATCAATCCTCAGTGAAGGTTCTTGCCCAATCAGTACTGTACAAGAATTTGAAGCCATGGTGGACTCGTCGACCCTTCTTTCTTTGTGTGGGAAGATTGATCTTGTGAACGAGTGTTGTGAACAAATCTGTCAAAGTGCTATATCAGAAGCTGCTGAGAAACTTGCTGCCAAAGCTTATGGTCTTTCAAATGTGTTGCCTGACCAGGCAACTAGAGCCAATGATTGCAAACGCGTTGTACTCCGTTGGTTGGCAAGCAAACTTGACCCATCTGGTGCAAAAGACGTTCTTAGAGGGCTTTCTAGCTGCAAAAACAATAGAGGTAAGGAATAAAAATAGTTCTCTCTTATTGACTTCTAATATTCATCAGATTGTTTCTTACATTTGTTGCCTCCCCCCCACCCCCACCCCCACCCCGTATTATGCTAAGATATAAAGTGTGGACATTGATTGGGACAGAAACGATGTGACAGAGTGTTGTGAACCAACTGTAATGTGCACCGTTTGTTCAGTAATGGGAACAAATCAACCATGCCTTCATAGTATGTGCTTCAACTTGTATTTGAAGTCAGCTCTCAGCTACTTTAACACTATGTTTGGTTCAAGGAATTTGGTAGGAAAAGAAAAGAAAATGGTTTTCCCTCATTTTCCTCACCAAAATGGAAGGAAATTGGTTTTCCTTCCTCTTAGTACATTTTGCCTTCTATTTTTCTTTTCCTTCCACTTTTCTTTTCTTTTCCTCTCTAACCAAACAAGAAAAATATTTTCCTTCTCATTTTCTTTTCTTTTCCCTCTCAAATTCCTTGAACCAAACATAGTGTAAGGGTATGTTTGGAACCCGGAAAGCACAGCAGTAAAGTGAAAATTATTTTAGGGCTCTGTATCATGTTAAGAAAAAAAGTCTGAGTAAAACTCTCTTGTATTTCTTATGAGAATAATTTGCAAGAAAAAATTATAAATAGGGGAAGCTTTTCAATAGGTTAAGAGTCCAAAGGAAACAGAATTATACAAGGAATCTTATATCATAAATAACTCATACCAAAATAATATATATCCAAAATAATAATTGCCAAATACCAATTCTATTTCCTTTAACAAAATTCTATGGGAAGGGGGGAAGAAAATCCAACGAAAGTTATGTTCTTGTGGTTGTTTTTATTGGGGAAAATGCAAAGAAAAAATTTGATGTTGTAACAAAAGTTTACATGTGTATATTTCTTAATCTTTAAGTATGTATGGAGTAATATACAAAAAAATTCAAAAAGAATTACTATTGAGTAAGAACCAATGTTTTATTTTTCTCAGATGTTCATACCCTCCAAATTACCTCTATATGCTTCTCTAAATTTCTTTCCCTAGCATTTTCCAAGTTCCTAACTATAAATCCCATCTTTGATCGTCAACAACCTGTAACATAAATTTCTATTGTATGCATAATTGCTTGTGTTATTATCAATATGCCAATGTTGATCGCCGTTATTAAGATTTAAAAAAATGCGGAATTTTGTAGAGAGCCTCCTTGCAAGTAATACTATCTCTACATTATTTTTCTTCTCTAGTGTGCCCTTTGGTTTTCCCCAACATGAGCCGTAGCATTAATGCCTGTAAGAACGGGATAAAGAATCAGACAACTTGTTGCAGAGCCATGGGGCACTATGTTTCACACTTGCAAAGGCAGAGCTTTATCACTAACTTGCAAGCTATGGACTGTGCTGACTCACTTGGTATGAAGCTACAGAAAGCCAATGTTACCCAAAATGTTTTCGATCTTTGCCATATTACCCTCAAGGACTTTTCAGTTCAAGGTCAGTTTGTTCTGATAATTCAAGATTCCCTTTGAATGTTTTTGCACCATATGAAGATATGTTCAGCTTATGCTAACCTCTTTTCTTTTTTCATCTTGGCATCTTCAAAACGACATTTCCAGTTACACCAGAAGGTATGTACCTTCTCTTTGTTCACTTGTAAAGACCCTGCTCAGTAGATTTAAAACTAGTATATTGTTTCGTGGCTTTTTCACTCTGTTTAATTTATTTATTTTTTGTTTTGTTTTCATGGGGGGGCAGTTTCCGGGTGCCTTTTGTTAAGTTTGCCCTCAGATGTCACACTTGACCAAACCACGGGGATAAGTTTTATGTGTGATTTGAATGATAACATTCCAGCTCCTTGGCCATCTGCGTCACTGCTGCATGCTTCATCATCATGCAATAAAAGTATGTTAAGTTTTTCCTTCTCTTTGATAAAATGGAACCTTCTGGATCACAGTATGTTAATGGTTTCTTGTTGCAGCTGTCAAAGTTCCTGCACTTCCTGCTGCAGCATCATCAGGGGAAACTTGTAAGGATACCATCCTTCCGATATCATTCGTTTACTTGCATTATTTCCCAATTTTAAATTTATTTATCCAAGAATGCTGAATTCATCTGCCATTGTATACATTATACAATAGTATTTGCCCTATTTTTCTATTTTCTCACCTCCTCATCTGTGTGATTTTAATGGGATTGTTGTACTAGTTTTCATGTTCATGTTGCGCCCGTTGATGGAAATTTATGTTTTTGTTAGGTGTTTATGTTCTAGACTTGGGGTCTATTCTGCTCGTGGTAATGTCAACAATGCTCGTTTTGCTTCTGCCACAAAGCTTGTGATGATAAACGAGCCGATGGAACTACTAATATGTAAAGAATGTAAGAGGATGAAGCCTTTAATTCAAGAGATCTTGAGGGATGTTGTGGAAATCAAGGAAACTCTCATTAAAAACTAGTGATTACTAAAGAGTTCATTGTAGATCTTGTGGGCTTGACTTGTGAGTAGTGTTGTTTTTATTATCAACTATGCCTACAATGCTTATTGTTGTTTTTTTATGGTTTGTAATAATTACTTGTTATTTTTCAATTTTGTATGTGCACTAATTGCTCTTGAGAGATAGTGCATTTACGAAATGAAAAAATAAGCAGTAATTATTATAAATGATAAAAGGATAACAAGAAGCATTCTAAACAAATGCAGTTAATAATAAAAACAATGCGTGTAATTTATTATTACAAGGTCTACGATGAAATCTTTAGTAATAATGGGGTTTTTTTATGAGAGCATTTTTAAAAATATCTTGAATCCAAAATTCTATCGTCTGCAAGATTTGATTACAAAGTGAACCGGATGGGGCCGAAGAAATGGTAAGAGCATCTCCAACCATTAAAACCCAAGATGTGGAAACGAAGAAGAAAGAAAGGAAGCATGTATGTTGTTGACATGAGAGAAGAATCAATAGGTCATTGTGATATAGCAGGCAGGAAGTTGTGCTCTAATGAGAATGAGAGCTTTGAAATCTGTATTTCAAGCTAGATTGGGAGAGTAGAGACGAGAGATTATGGGGGGAAAATGATTGTCTTATTTATAATCATCAATTATAGAGGTTGGCATTTGGCAACTACTCCGTATATATTTTGGCCATATTCCCTTTGTTTCTTAACAAAATTGCGAATTGTATGTGATGGTGTAAATTAATCACCGGATAAAGAGTACTAGATCGAGTCTAAGATTGTTTACTGGATTTGAAAAAGTGAAAGATAATAAATGTAGAAGTTAACTGGGAGGATTGTAGGTGAAAATACATGTAGTCCAATTTCACCACCAATCACTCGTTGCTACTTGCTAGTCACACCTATCTATCACTATATATATATATCATGATTTTAAAATTTTTCCATTTTTTTTCAGATTTAGAACTCTATATCATTTTCATTGGCTAGATTTTAGAATTAATTGACAAAATTTACTGCACCCCCACTTGTAAAAAAATAATCTTTTCGGGTGTATGGTATGGACTTGTCAAAATCAATTTGCTACCAAATTATATCTATGTAACATTTTGGTGTGGAGGTAAACACCACCTCATCCTTTATGGCACAACAAAAAATTTGGCAAGGAGTCTATATACTTACATTCCATACCATATCTTGCTTTAACCTCTTTATTTACAAATTTTTAATATTTAAAAATTTTAAAATTTTTATTAAAACTTTAAATTATATTCTAAATTAGTAATATTTTCAACCTACTCGCAATATTTATACATCTTATTTTAATTACTTTTATTTTTATATCTTTAAAATAATATTTACATTGATTTGTAGAGTTCAAAAATGATTTATATTTTAATTTATTAATTAAGTTAATTAATTAAAAAGGCTGTAGTAAGTTGGTAAATTGTACAACATATTTGTAATTCTAATAAGAAAAGTATAAAATAAAGAGGGCATGTTAAATTCCACAGTTATTAGAACATCTCTAACCTTGTTTACTATATTGGCTTGCTATTTTTATATTTTAACAAGTGAATACTGACATATCAAGTGATATTTTGTTGCATTTTCCAACCATGGCTTGCTAATCTATTCTATAACTCTTGGCTTCATATAATTTGAAGAGTTTGTTATATTTAGTAAGTCGAATTCATTTTTTGGCAAGCTTCATAAAACTAAACACATCCATTAGAGAAGAAAAAAATAGGTTGACTTGCTGTATTATTGGAGATGCTCTTAGTTATTAGTGGGTTGCCAAGGATACTTCGTATTGAATGCTGAGTTCTTGAAGGGATATATGAATGCCTAAAAAATCTTGATTCCTTAATAAAAGATTCATTCATCCAATCGTTTTCTCACACCAGCGATGAAGACGGTGGGGCAGGTAGGGGAACCAGGCCTAAAACCAGTGGAGTCAGGCTCCGTTCCGGTTTAGTTTGTTTTTTCTTTTTTCTCGTCAAACATCCAATAATGGGGGGAGTGTGTCCAACACTATTCCAACGACTATATAGCCGTTTGGAGAGAAAAGACCATTGGAGGGTGGGGATTTATTAACGTGTACTCTAAGTATAAATATCACTGAATTTTCAAAATATAGAGGGTCCAAAGGAACCACATAGAAGAAATAAAAAGAAGTCTGCATTTATGTAAAAACGTGCGTATGAAATTAAGATATGAAATTTACAAATAAAATAATCCCTTCTTCCGAAAAAAATCTTCTCACTCTACTTTTTTTCGTCTGAAAATAATATTTCCATTCTACTATTTTATGCCAATTCTTCCTAAATTACCCCTTCTAATAATACCCCACTCTTTTCTTTTTCTTCTCTCCTACCGTTTCTCCCCTCTTCCACTTTTTCTTCTTTTTTCGTATCTTCTTTCTCCTCTCTTCCTCCATCATCTCATCCTCCTTTCCTCCACTCAATTTTCTTTTCTTTTTTCTTCTTCCTTCTCCTCCTCTCTCTTCCTCCGTCATCTCCTCTTCTTCATTTTTCCCTTCTTTATCTCCTCTTATTTCTCTCATCTCTCTTGCATATCTGAGCTTGGCAGCAGTGGTGCATCCAAGATATTAAATAGTAGGGGTCACCTTTCGAGTGTTCTTGGACAGCTTCCCAAAACTTTTTTTTATAGATGCAATGCGAGACTTTAAAAAAATAACAAATTAACCTCAAATAGTTATTCAAAATAGTAAAAAAAGTAAAAAATAATAATTAATGCTAATATTATAAATTAGTTTAATTATTACTCCGTATATTTTTAGTGTACTACTTTAGAATTTATCTTTGCATTTTAAAATATTTCACTTTTAAATTATTTTTTTAATATTTAAATATTTGACTTCTCTCATTTTTTCTTACTTAACATTATTAATTGAGATCTCTAATATATTTAATTAGGGTCTCTGATATTTTTAGTTGGGGTCATAAATTACATAACTCTAAAATAATTTAAAAATTAAAGTATCAAAATACATGTGATAAACAAAAACTTAAAACTAGTAGGGCCCCCAACTCTTATGAATTGGATCCGCCCTTGCTTGGCAGCGATGATGGCGGCAGCGATGGTGTTAGCAGCGATGATGGTGAATATAGATCTTTACTTCTTCTGATGTCCATTTTCTTCTTCTTTTTCTCTTCCCTCTTTCTATTATAGGGTGGCACTGCTAGTAAGGGTGGTATCAATGGTAAGGTGGCGGAGATGGTGAGGATGCGTCGGTGGTAAGCCTAGATCTGCAATCTTCTTCTCATCTTTTTCTAGTTTCTTTTTTATCATTCTTTATTTCTTTGAGATCTAATGGTTGGGTTATGGTGGTGATGGTGGGACTCGAGCGATTATGGTGGAGATGGTCGGAGAACGGATCGATGGTGAAGCTGACGGCAACACAGTGGGGTTGGCGGCGAAGAGGAGAGGGGCAACGGTGGAGGCGGTGGTGGGGACTTGAAGGTGGCAGGGCTGGGAAAGAATGGGGATGATATTTTAGACAAATTACACCCATCAACACTTAGTAAAAATGAGGAAAAGTCAAAGAGAGAAGTTTATTCCCAGACGGAGGGAGTATATATTAGTGAAATAACATGAAGACTTCAATTCTATAAATGTTTCACTTATGTATTCGTTTTCTAATTTCAAATCTTTTTAAAGTTATAGATATATTCCGTCCGTCTCATATCTTTCTTCGCGTGGTGCAGAATGAGGGAAAAATTCCAATTTTTCTGATTCTATTTATTTGAAATATTTGTATAGAAGAAAAAAAAGAAACATTTATATTTAAAAACTACATCAAAAGTTCTACAAAATAAGTGGTGACAAATATTATTTAATTTTATTATACATGCCATAAAAAATGCAAACAAATAAAAGGTCTCGTGAAATTGGAGTGGTGTTCTATTAAAAATATATGGGACGGATGGAGTATTTTACAAAAAAAAATGTACAAACACGTGCAAGGACGGGTAAACACTACTCGGTAGTACTTGTGTTTGAAAGATAGTATGTATTAATCTCGAACACTAAACAAGCATATATAAATGCACCACATTTTTATTATTCCTCCATCTTTTTAGTTTTCTTATGCAGTGGTGAAATCAGAGTACATTTTTCTAGCATGTATCATCATTTGATATCCACAGGCATCGACAATGTGTAATAGTTGTGTTCCACGAACAACATCCAGTCGCGTATTTTCCTATCATCTTTTTACATGCTGGTATACAAATTTCCCCCATAGCTGCACCTTCACATGGCAAATTGATGGTGGGATCATAAAAGCATTCTTTTATTCCATTTACGTAAAGGTTCTCTAGTGTCATCATCTCAACTGCATGCATGCAAATGAACATGTAAGAATTGGTAGCAATTAAGAATTTAAAGTTATATTAAATGAATGGTATGAGTACAAAATCTCAGAATTGTCATCCTCCAGCTTTTACATACAAAATTTTTGTGACTTTATATGACATTCGAAGTGCATCTTTGTGCTTTTATGGTGATTTTAAGGTCCACATGTGAAGTGTGGACCTTTTCGTGCTTTTCATGGGCTGATATAAAAATCTTTTGATTTTTTTTCAAAGAGTCAACCCAATTCATCAATGGTATTTATATTCTAAGATCCATAAAATGAATGTGAATATTAGAACCATAGAAGAGTTTTTCCAAAAATGAAAAATAACTTTTATAAAGAAGTGTTATTAGTAATGAAGAGATCCTTTATTTGTACTAATTATTTCATGTTATGGCTTAGTACTTCAATAATTTTGACGTGACATACAATGAAAAATGTTTATGAGATAATGACCGCCTTAGTTACTAAGTCCTTATATTTTTCGAAAATAGGTGGATTTTCGAACCAAGTCTATGGAGAATATTATAGAGGCGCTAGTTGCACGTTTACGATGTAATCTCTATATTCTTTACATAATAAAGACCATATTTTATTTTATTTTCGTTTTGCCATATTCATGTCTCTTATCATCTTTCTTTCTCTCATTTTATACAATTTTATTAATCTTCCGCCACAAGAAAATTATATAGGTAGAGTAAAATGGGCAAATTAAGAATGATGGATGATAAAAGATTATGCACTATAAAAGATGGTGAAGGGAAGAAAAGGCATAAAATATTTTTTTTAATATCAGTAAAACATTATGCGAAGAATTATCATACTACCAGCGCGTATACGACTATATTCAGAGGCTTTGTCAAAAAAACATGCTAAACGAATTGTCAAAGAATTGAAGCAACTCGATCAAAAGTTCAAGATTGTGGTTACGGTGGCCTAGAAATGGTTTTTATATACCCTAACACTCGCCCTCACGTACACGCGTGACTTCTTTGACATTGCACATAAAACCTTAAATTTTTTGAAGCAAGGTAAGAGTGATTTTCGAACTCATGACTTCTTGGTCATTAAGCCTCTGACACCATGTGAAGGAACAAACTCAATTACAGCATCAAACTTGTGGTTGTGACCAATGAATGATGTTTATATACTCTAATCGGAAATTATGAATTACTTACGCACGAGTTAAAAATTTTAGAGATTTGGGAAGAAGGTTTGAAAAAATATAAATATAGACACTGTTAGAATTTAAAATAAGAAAGAGATCGAGAGAGTGCTGTTGAAAAAATGCTTATAGCTATCAAACTTAGCCACTAATTCAAATTTAGTAGGATTAATTACATTGTATTTCGTGGTAAAAAATTATACTAGCTCCAACGAACATGAAAATAAGCACTATAATTTAAAACCTAAAGCAAAAACAATGAAGAGCGAGAAGAATGCGTTTCTTGAAAAGTGATCCATTGATGCAATCGTTTATATATATCCCTCTTGTTCAATTTTTGTGTTTCAAATTTTCAACAAAACTGCATGTTCATTTCAATACGTGTGGAATATATAAATAGACGAACAATTGTGATTTATAAGATCTTTGAATAGTTATGACATTTCATAAATAAATGAATTAAAATAAGATTGAAATAGAAATAAAGTGAAAGCATATATTTTATTTTAACTATTTCCATGTAGTTAGAGAAAATTACTTAAGTAGCTAAAACATAATGACTTTCTCTAAATAACACCCAGTGTCTTTTTTTCCAATGTAGCACTTTTAGTCATTATATATTAGTCATTATTCAAGTAAATATTCGTAATCAATGGACATTCTGAATATTTTTAAATGCTATTGAAGAAATAAAGTAATTTAAGTGAAGAAATAAAATAATGCAGTCGAAGGTGACACACGGTAGAGCGGCAGAAAATTATTCGCGGGTGACGCGAGTTTTGTCGAAATAACTTTCAGGTCTATCTATTTTCAAAAAGACAACCAAGGTCCTTATATTTTGTTGTAATGACTGGGAGGAGACATTTCATCCAATATATCATCTGTAAGTGTTAATAAATGTATTTTTTTCCTATTTTTCCAATACCGTTTTTTCCTATTTTGCCATTACATAGTTTTTTATTTTTTTTATTTTTTTATTTCATTTGTTTTAATATAATACAAACAATTTTGAATTTTTATACGGTTTTATATAAGAAATTCTAAAATAAAACTTTAAAAAATAGTAACAAAATGAAAGAAAAACAAAGAAATAAAAAAAGGAGCGACCTAAGATTTATTACCTTAAAACATTTAGAAAAGAATAGGAAAAAAATACATTTATTAACGTTTATAGATGAAATATTGGATGAAATGTCCCCTTCCAGTCATTACAACAAAATATAAGGACCTCTGCTGTCTTCTTGAAAATAGAGGGACCTGAAAGTTATTTCAACAAAACTCGCGTTACCCGTGAGTAATTTTCTGGTAGAGCAGTGATGGGACTATTGGAGGTATGGGTGGAGCATCAAGGCAGCCGTCCGAATTACCCAAAGAAGTTAGAGGGATGGAGGGTATTTTAGAAAAGTCAACTACATTTACATTTTTTCTTAATATGCGTGTCCGGTTAAATCGGGAAGTTTAATTTTGGACAGAGAGCGTATTTAGGAAAATGACTTAAATTTTAGTGCTATTTAGTGCAAATATTTCTTGAAATATTTACACTAACTAACACTAAAACTTAAGTCAATTCTCTAAATATCATTTAAATTGTTTTATTCCTTAAGTAGCACTTAATAATGTCCATAATGATCAGTAATGGTGTATATATACTTACTTGAATAATGACAAATGCATAATGACTAAAAGTGTTAAATTAGGAAGAAAACACATGTAGTGTTATTTAGAGAAAGTTATGTAATGCTATTATTTTCTATTACTTTTTTGTGATACAATGTTTTTTAAAATTAAGCGTACCCACTTAAAGAAACCTATTTGAAATTTAATATGAAATATATTTATATATCCAATCACTCAATACTTGCACCCACACTCCCTCTGATCATTTTAGACCATTTTTCGGCGAAGAGGGGGCATTGGTGCATAGTTTATAAACCATATATAGGGCATTGGTGCATAGTTTCTAAACCATAGGGAGCATTCATGCTCATTTCTTATTTTTTGTTTATTATTTGTGTTTTTTCTTTTTTGAAAAATATTTTCTATCTTTTTTTTCTTTTCCTAGAATTTTTTTAAATTCTATTTTCAAATTTTTTTAATGTTTTAAAAATTTTAAAATTCTTTGTGTTTGAAATAAAAATAAAAATAAAAAATTTAACACACATTCCATCCATCTAAAACTAAACATTTTCAATATTACTTAGAATAGTATTTCGAAAAATTCAAAAAGAAAATCCAAAATAAAAAATAAAAACATGGGAAAACGAAATTAAAAAATTAAAATACGCAAAAAAGTCTTATACAAAAAAATTTGGACATGCCTAAAAAAGTCCTTAGAATTGAAATGTACAAAAAGGATATCTAATTTTATTTTAGTATTATTTATTTCTTATTTTATTCCTCATTTTTTTGAAGTTCTAAAAAAAATTACTTTTGTTTTTATAAAAAAACAAAATTGTTAATTTGAGTTGTACATATGCATCATATGTAAATTTTTTAAACAAAAATAACTTTAAATTTTAAGAACATCAGAAAAATAAATTTTAAAAAAACTTTATTAATAAATGAAACAAATAAAAGAAAATGGAAAAAACAAAAAATAAGTAAGAAACAAAAATTAGCATTGATACCGCCTATCATATAGAAAATATGTATCAATGCCACCCTTTTTCGTCGAAAAAATTATTGGAAATTGATCAGAAGAGGCACGAGTGCAATATTTTGAAATCACACCAAGTTTAGAAATAAGTTTTAAAAATATGAGAGATTATTTCTTTTTACAAACCAATTTTCTTTTTTTTTTTACCAAACGTGCATAGGAAAGAAAGCTGTAATGGAATTTCAGTGGGGGCATTTCACTTATTAGGCCACAGGTTCCTTCTTAGCCGGACATTCGCCCGGGCACTTCCATGCCGGCAATTGCAAATTGGCCACAGGTTCCTTCTTCGCCGGTCATTCGCCGGAGGGGGGGGGGCACGTGCCTCTACAGGCCCCATTTCTTCTCCACCACTGGGTTGTTAAAGATGTATGCACGCTGAAAAAGGAATGGAGACTATAATCAGCTAAATGCCCTCGATCCCATTGGAAAGAAAAACCAATTAGTGGAGTCTTGACGCCAGAATTAGCTTGCTGGTCCTTCTTCTTTCGTCCCCACCCCCCTCCCCCGTGAATTGTGGGTTGGTAAATATGTATTCATGGCCTCTGAGTTTTTATTTCCTTCATTGCCACTTATCCTTTCTCAAGTCTCCCGAAAAAGGTCACTTCTTGCTCAGAAATTCATCTTTTTTCTGGGTTTTCTTGTGTTCTTATTGTGTCAATCTGAATTGGGTGTTCTTGAGAAAGTAGAGTAGGTATGAAACAGTGCGTTGCTAGAAGGAGGCTTATTCTGTTTCTGCTTCTCTGTGAGTGTTTTATGCCTTTTTCTTTTCATTTCTTGCTACTTGTATTTGCTTCTTGAATGCTTGACCTGTTTATTGTTATTTTAAGAAAATGATATTTTTGCTCTTCACTGGTTTTCTTCACGGGTATTTTACTCCACGTTTGGTTCAAGGAATTAGGAAAAAATAGTTTTCTCTTATTATCCTCGCCAAAATTGGAACATTTGATTTCCCATATTTTTAGTACATTTTGCCTTCTCTTTTTTTTTCTTTCTCATTTTCTTTTCTAGCCAAACAAGAAAAATTATTTTCCAAGTTCATTATCTTTTCCTTTTCTCTTTGAAATTCCTTGAACCAAACATATTGGTAGGAAAATTGTAGGGTTTGTAGTTCTATTTTGATTTGTGGTTCATATTTATTGCAGTGTATCTTCTCTTATTGATCTCTGCTTCAATTACATTTATTATATATTGCTTAATTCTGACTATTGAGGATTAATTTGTACAGGCCTCCATGGCACCTGTTGTAGTCCATTGAATAATCTCAAGAGTCTTGCAGAGAAATTGGAAATTGGCCTCTTACCTCAGATCTCCCCGAGTGCCCCTCCGCTGGCTCCTTTCACTAGTAGCACTGTTGCCCCAAAGCTGTCTGGTCTGTTTCATTTCCACAATGTGTTAGGGCATGTTTGTCCAGAGTAATTTGGCTGAAATGGTCATTTTTTATAGTGGGAAAGTTTGATAAAATCCATTTCAGCCAAATAATTTTTAACATATTTATTTTGCTTAGTCTGCTGAGAAAAAGCAGAATAAGATTGTCAAACAGAGCCTTAGATTCTGGGCGGATTACTATAAAAATAACTCTCCATTTTTTCATTTCCCTTGCAGGATCATGCCCGTTAAACTTTGTTGCTTTGGGAAGCATGATAACCACGACCTCGATTGACTGTGCTGCTCCATTTGCAAAGTATCTTGCAAATGTCATTTGTTGCCCACAATTGGAAACCACCCTCACCATTCTTGTAGGACAATACAGTAAACACAGTAAAAATGAACTTGCTTTAAACACAACACTTGCAAGGCATTGCCTCTCCGATTTTCAGAAGATTCTGGCGGGTAAGGGTGCCAACAGTACGCTGCAACAAATCTGCTCTCTTAACCCGTCAATCCTCAGTGAAGGTTCTTGCCCAATTAGTAATGTTCAAGAATTCGAAGCCACAGTGGACTCGCCGACCCTTCTTTCTTCGTGTAGGAAGATTTTTGTTGGGAGCAAGTGTCCTGAACAAATCTGTGAGAGTGCTATATCAGAAGCTGCTGAGAAGCTTGCTGCAAAGGCTTATGGTCTTTCAAATGTATTGCCTGACCAGTCAACTAAAGCTAAAGACTGCCAACGTGTTGTACATCATTGGTTGGCAAGCAAACTTGACCCTTCTGGTGCAAAAGAAGTTCTTCGATGTCTTTCTAGCTACAAAAACAATAGAGGTAAGAACTTGACCCTTCTGGTACGTAGTTCTCTTTTTTCACTGAGTTTTTATATTCATCAGATTATTGCTTACATTTGTTGAATGCCTCATATTTTGCAAAGATATAAAGAGGGAGCATTGATTAGGAAAGAAGCAATGTGATAGAAATCACATGCACAGTATGCCTTTATATTATAGTATGTGCTTCAAATTGTATTTGAACTCATATCTCATCTACTTTAAGGGTGTGTTTGGATCTCAGTAAATACTGTGGGAAGAGAAAAAGAAAATATAAGGAAAGTTGTGTTCTTGTGGTTGTTTTTACTTTATAATATGCAAAGAAACATTTTGATGTTTTAACAAAAGTTTACATGTGTGTATTTCGTAATCTTTAAGTATATACAGAGTACGGAGTAATTCACTCCCTCCATCCCAATATGATTTACCCCTTTACTATTATGGCCTTTCAATAACTTTTGTTTGTTTACATGTTTTCATTGATCATTTGATAAAATAAAATACTTTTGTCACATCTTATTTTTTTGAACTTTTGGTGTAATTTTTAAATATGTAAGTCTTATTTTTTATTTATATACTAATTTGCAAATAAAATCATTTTAAAGGTCACCTGATTTTGCACGCTGTTCGAATAGGAACTTTTGGGGACGAAGGGAGTACAAAAATATTTAAAAACTTTTTGAGCATGACCTAAGACTTTTGGGCCTTATTGAGAATATGACCTTATAATGAGCATCTCGAGAGCTAGGATAGTTAGGTAGGCTTCTTTGTGTTTTTCTTTATTTCATTGTGTGTTTCTTTCCATTCCCTGTACTTGCTAGGTTCCTATTTTGTCGTGCTCTTTGCTTTCTGTGCATAATGTGCTTTCCTGAACTAGGGTTCTCTTCTGGAAACAACTTCTTTACTTTCAAGTATGGGTAAGGTCTGCTTACACACAGCCTCCCCACACTCTAGTCTCATGGGATTTGCTGGGTTGTTGTTATTGTTGTTCATTCCCTCCAAATTTCCCCGATATTTTCTTTTACACTATGGTTGGTTCAAGGAATTTGGAAGGAAAAGAAGAGAAAATGGTTTTCCTGCAGTTTCCTCACCAAAATGGAAGGAATTTGGTTTTCTCTCCTCTTAATACATTTTGCCTTCTCATTTTCTTTTTCTTTCACTTTTCTTTCACTTTTCTTTTCTTTTCCTCTTTAATCAAACAAGAAAATTGTTTTTCTTCTTATTTTCTTTTCTTTTCCCTCTCAAATTTCTTGAACCAAACATAGTGTTGATTTTCTTTTCCTTGCATTTCCTAAGTTCCTAACGGTTACGGGCCCTAATGGTAGAGCATGCTAAAAATAAAAAATAAAAAATAAAAAATAAAAAATAAAAAATAAAAATAAAACATAGAAGAAAAGAGATGGACAAAAAGGGATAACAGAAGCCAGGTCATCCAGGTGAAACAAAATAGTGGAATCTAAAGAGTGAATCTGCTCATAGTGATGGATTAATTTTGTTTGCTTGGATGTGTGTAATTTTATATAAATAACTACAAATCTTATCTTTGATTGTTAATAACTTGTTACATAAATATATATGGCATGTGTAATAATTGCTTGTGTTGACTTTCAATATCCCAATGTTGATCACTGTTATTAAGAATTTAAAAAATGAGGAACCCTGTAGAGAGCCTCCTTGCAAGTAACACTATCTCTTCATTATTTTTCTTCCCTAGTGTGCCCTTTGGTTTTCCCCAACATGAGTGGTAGCATTGAGGCTTGTAAGAATGAGATAAAGAATCAGACAAGGTGTTGTCTAGCCATGTGGCACTATGTTTCACACTTGCAAAGGCAGAACTTTATCACTAACTTGCAAGCTATGGAATGTGCTGGTTCACTCGGTATGAAGCTACAGAAAGCTTATGTTACGCAAGATGTTTACAAGCTTTGCCATATTACCCTCAAGGACTTTTCAGCTCAAGGTCAGTTCTGATTATTCGGGATGCCATTTGAATGTTTTTGCACCATATGAAGATATATTCAGCTTATGCTAACCTCAATTCTTTTTCTTTTTTGTTTTCATCTTGGCATCTTCAAAACGACAATTCCAGTTACACCAGAAGGTATGTATCGTCTATTTGTTCACTTGTAAATACTATACTTAGTAGTTTTAAAAATATTACACTGTTTTGTGGCTCTTTCAATTGTACTCTCTTTCAGCTCAAGGTCAGTTCTGATTATTCGGGATGCCTTTTGAATGTTTTTGCACCATATGAAGATATATTCAGCTTATGCTAACCTCAATTTATTTTTCTTTTCTTTTTCTTTTTTTCCCATCTTGGCATCTTCAAAACAACATTTCCATTTACACCAGGAGGTATGTACCTTCTGTTTTTCACTGGTAAAGACTATGGTTTGTAGTTTTAAGTGCCACGAGTGTATAAATATAATGAGAATATAAATCAAATGATTCTTGATTATATTCATCCAAAGAGCCAACATATATATGAAATATCTTACTTATTATATTATAATTATATTATAATATTATACTTATTATAATAAGAAGCGAGTGAATCTTATTTTGGGTTGTTTGCTAGTAAGGTAATAGAAAGGTAAGCGGCTAGGCAGCTTTTGAATGCGTCCCTGCTATCCTGAGAAAAATTAGGATTTCTCTTTAGTCGTTGAGGGCCTGACCTTTTTGGTTTCTTAAGTTTTTTGCTTGATCCTTTGTTTGGAGTTTCACTTCTCCCAGTTTAGTAGGTTTAGCATCAGAGCTTTTCCACGTCTACCTAAGCCCAACTAGGTGAGAAGCAGTGTCAATTCGTTTATCTTCCTTATATTCGTTTATAATAGAAGACCTTTCCGCCAATGCTTCTCCTTGACCGGGAACATAAGAGCTGTTACCAATCCTACTACTTAGGATGAGTTGGAGCAATTTTAGGAAGGAGTTACACTAGCTACTAAATACAAGAATTGCTATACATGGTAGTTACATACAAGCATAATAAATCAATATGAATAATATTTGTTTATCCTTAAAAACGCCCCCGCAAAGATGGAGGATCCGTTAGATATTTCAATCTTGGACCGAAACTTATGAAACATAGCCCGACCTAGAGGCTTCGTGAGAATGTTCGCAGTCTGCTCAGTGGTAGGTACATGCAACAGACAAATATGACCTGCAGTACTTGACAAAAAGTTTTGGCATTAGTGGGTGAAGCTGCACAGTCCGAGATTGGACTTGAAAATCCGTGTGTTTGGTCGATGTTGTCGCACAGTCCGAGATTGGACGGGAGACGACATGGTAGCCGGATGGGAAGGTTCGGACAACATAGGTGCGACAATGGATGGCCGTGAAGGGGGTTGAGGAGGAGATGGGGGGAGGTCGGCTACTAAACTAGGCTGCATAGAATTGGGATACGAAGGTTGAGCTGGTGCAGTCGTCGCGTGATCGAAGCCGGAGGAAAAACAAACGCGGAGACAGACTGACAAACAACTGGAACTTGTGCGTCAATATTATTTGTCGGCAAGGATGATATTTTAGAGGAGAATGGATACTGAGTCGGAATAAATTTGACATGGCAAAAAATGTATAGACAATGTGTCTGAAGGTCAAGACTTAGATTCACCGATTGAGACATAGAGTACCCAACAAACACACTGGGTCGACTTCGGTTGGTGTTTGGATGTGTTGTACGGGCGAAGCCACGGATAACACAAACACCCAAAAGGTTCAAGTTTGAGGTAGTTAGGGGGCCGTGTGAGAAAGAAGGTGGTACCGACTATGATTGTTTAGGAGAGGAGAGATTATCTAATTAATAAGATACACCGCGGTTTGAAACACATATGGCCAATACTCAAGAGACATTGATGCATGATGAAGTAAGGCCATGCCCGTTTCAACCACGTGACGGTGACATCTTTCAGAGGTGGCATTGTACTCAGGTGTATGAGGTGGGGTAGTGAAGTGAGACACCCCACGAGAGGCAAGAAGAGGACGAAGTTTGGTATATATTCACCACCATTATGAATAAAGAGAGATTAGTGGTGTGTTAAACAGTTAAAGCATCTCTCTACCATTTCTTCGTAAATAGGAAACAATGTAGAGACATCAGATTTGTGATGCATGGGATACATGATAAAGCCACACAATTTTAGTGAAATGATAAAAAACTGACATAATATTTGCAACCCTCAACAGAGATATCGTTGCATGACCATACATCAGGATAAACATGTTGTAAAGGAGCAGTACTAAGGAATTTTTCTCAGACTGTCAGCTTGTGGCTCTTGTTTATTGAACATGAGGAACAATGAGATGTCTCAAACTCAAGTTTAGAGTCATTTTTATTACAATGTTTCAAAATATGAGACATGATTTTGTTCGAGGGATGGTGGAACGGGCTGTGCAGATCAGACAAAGTACTATGATGCACTTTAGGAGGCAAGGCAGAAAATGCATAATAGACACCACTATGATTTTTATCGTGAAGAAGAGGCGCTGCCATGGTTAGATCGTTAACCACAAAAGACAAAGCAAAAAATTCAATCGAGGCATGGTTAGTTTGATAAAATCTAAAAACAGAGACAAGAGTTTTAGATAATTGAGGAACACACAGAACATTGATTGGAGGCAACGAGCCAGAAGTAGTAGGAATAGAGGTAGTACAAATATGAGAGATGGGGAGTACCATTGCTCATGCAAATCTCATCAAGACAGGCATAATCAGAGAACAACTGTAAACGCTGAGGAGCATATTGGTATGATGACTTGCTCCACGCTCAAACATCCAGCGATTCATCCCATCCGGACTAACAGCTCTAGCATGAGCTACTGGATGGTTAGGGCCAAACAACTGAGTCGGCATGCCATTTTCGCGCTGCAGACGTGCAAGTTTGCAAGAAACCTTGATATCATGGCCCGGAATAGAACAAAATTTCACACGAATTGGGTTGTCCATCATTACGGTAAAGAGCCAGAGGCCTGGAAGAGCTATGCTAGTTGCGGGTGAAGCGGATATAAATTGATGGATCCAGTTGAGGCCCCACCGGCGAGCCCACCATAGGGCCTGGAGCCAGATGACCTTTGAGTGGCATGCGTAGTAGCCACCAAATGCAATGTTGTATCATCTGCTCACTTGAGTTTGCTTTCAAAATCACACAAAACGTCACCGAGTTCAGCAAATGGAAGAGAGGAACCCTGAATGTAACCTGCAAATGCAAATGGATCAAACTCAGTACCAAGTTGAATTGATTAAAGATGTGGCACACAAGATCTTCTTCCACAACAAGACTCAGAGTGAGAGCAAGTTCATTGGCGATGGAGTGCGTCTCATGAAGATAATCGTTAATTTACCACGAGGATTCTTTCCAAGTTTGGACTTGAGAGCACGAATGTGACCGCAACCCGCAGTCGCAAACTGGAGTGGAGATTGAGCCAAGCATTGCGGAGAGTGGAGACATTAGAGATGAGCGGTTAGATGGTGTCAGTGTAGCTTCCCAGAAGTGCACCAACAATAGCTTGGTCTTGACTGAAGCAGATCCATTACAAAAATTCGCTTAAATAATGATGGAACGCGTTTGCGCGTTGCATTTAGCGACAGAAATAACGATGGAATAAATCCGTCGCTGATTTAGCCAAGGAAAGAAACTGTCGCTGCTCATTTGATGATACAAGTAGTAAGGATTTGCATCACCATCGGCAGCGGTGGCAAGGACAGTGAGTGTACCATCGACGTAGCCTAGAAGATCCAAGCCAATAAGCATGAAGCACACTTGACGCTGCCAGATTGGGAAGTGAGTTTTAGCATGAAGTTGAAGATCTGGGGTCTCTTTGGTGATGTTCTAAGTCATGGTGAGGGATGCGTCAAATGCAGGTGAGCCGATCAAGAGAGACAAGCAAGAGAGGAGAGGACCGTAAATGATTCTTCTTGATTATATTCATTCAAAGAGAATATATATACACATAAGAGCTGCAATTGATGCTACTAGTTAGGAGGAGTTAGAGCAATTCTAAGGAGTTACACGAGCTACTAAATACAAGTATGGCTACACGTGGTAATTATATATAAACATAATAAATAAATATGAATGATATTTATTTATCCTTAACAGAGAAGCCATACTAGTGCAATATATACTACACAATTGGTTGTACGGTGTTTCTAGTACATCCGTGGCGAGTGCTCATTTACGAGTAACTGAATACGAACAAGTGAATACTCATTCTCGAATAATTGAGTACTCATTTCTCTAAAATTCAATTATGCTCGAAAATGAGCATTCAGTTACTCGAAACTGTATATTTTTTTTACTCGAAAATAAGTATCCAGTTACTCAACAATGAATATTTATGCGGATGTACAGGAATACCGTACATCTAAATGTGTGGTATAGGTAACTCCCATACTAGTGCATTGTTTCGTGCCTTTTTCAACCGTATTCTGTTTATAATTCAATCGTATAATTTATTTATTTTGTTTTCTTTTGTTGGGGGGGGGGGGGGCAGTTTCCGGATGCCTTTTACCAAGTTCGCCCTCAGATGCCACACTTGTCCCAACCATGGGGATTAGCTCTTTGTGTGGTGTTGACAATATCCTTCCAGCTCCTTGGCCATCTTCATCACACGTGCATGCTTCATCATCATGCAATAAAAGTATGTAAATTATTTCCTTCTCTTCAATGCATTGGAACCTATAACTATAAGAACATAACCTTATTATTATCACATCATTTTTTAAAACTTGTTTGAGAATATAATTTATATATTAAAAATGAGTAATAATAAAAAATAAGTAGATAACCTCATTATTATCACATTCTTCCATATTAAAGATCACTTGTTTTCTTGCATTAATTCTCTGTTTTAATTTTATTTATGTTATGAACGCTCCACCTCACAATGACACCGAAAATATCAAAACACACAAGTTTAGCGAAGAACGACTTTATTTCACAAGAGAAGCATGAATACAATTGATGTGGATCTACTCTTATTTGACTTCATAGAGGTCCTATTTATAGTACTAAGCTAGACGTATCATAACATATTCCTACTAGGATTAGGATTCATATTATGGTTGCCTTTACACGTTTCCTAGTCTAACTGACATTGACATTCTAATTCAAATCATAAAGACTAACAAATCTCCACCTTGACTTGAATTCTCTAGTCTGAAACGTGTGCTTCTCTTCTCATAAACAAAGCTTGTCTTCTTCGCCCCCAATGTCTCACGTCATAGAGACTCACTGGACCCCCATTGGGTCCGACCATCCCAACGGCCTAATCGACTCACTACACTAACAAAAATGCTATGTCTGGTCGAGTGCAATCCATAGTATACACGAGGCTTCCAACTATGCTAGCATATGGAACCTTGGACATGTACTCCTCCTTGGCCTGAACGGTGTACATTCCTAACTTGTTGTTAGCCGCCATAGGAGTATCTATAGACGGCATTTTGCATCTCAAATTTGTGCAAAATCTACTTGATGTACTCATGTGACCAGAAGAGCTTCCTCTTCTTTTTATCTCTATAGATTTAAACTCATAATATTTTCCTAGCAGCCCCAAATCCTTCATCTCGAATTTCGTGCTGAGAGACCTCTTCAATTCCCTAATGTTCTTGATATTCTGAGTTGTAATCAAAATATCATTCACATATGGTGTGGTGTGCCACCACTGCTAGTAATCGTAGCCCGATAGGTGGACGGCTCATCTCTGTGGAGTGTTCGTGCTTGCCTCCTTGTGGTGCATCTCTCTGGAGTGCAGAGCTGACTGCACCGCTTTTAGAGATGTGTTTTCCTTATTAACAATAAAGGAGTGTACAAAATTCTTGTTTGAAGGTGGCAACGAGATCAAGAGAAGAAGTGCAACATCCTCACCGTTCACCTCTTATTCAATATTGCGCAGATTCAGCACAATCGTGTTCAATTTGTCAAGGTGATCTTTGAGGATTGTTCCTTCCCACATCTGTAGGGTGAACAACTGTTGTTTTAGCATCAGCTTGGTAGTAAGACTCTTCGTCATGGGGGGCAGCGGCGATCGAAGAAGAACAAGCTGGCAACCCTTCAATTCCCACATACAAGGCTTTTTGTTCTTCCAGATCCCACTAGTGACTAATTCTTTTTAGCAACTTCTCTCTGATGGGAGTTTGTTATGAGCCCTCCACCTCACAATAATGACACCAAAAATATTAAAACACAAGTATAGCAAAGAATGACTTTTATTTCACAAGAGAAACCTGAATACAATTGATGTGCATGTACTCTTATTTGACTCCAGAGGTCTTATTTATTGGACTAAGAGCAACTCCAAATAGAAGGGGGTAAATTGAGAAGGTATATTGTGTATCCTTCTCAAAAAGGTAAATATACGTTTTTAAAAAGTAGAAATTTCCAAGGAAAGAAGGTAAATTGGAGAGGTAAGTTGAGGTTTGTTGGCTTTGTTACCTCTGCTTATTACCGTTGACTTGTTAAGTTCTGCAACTTGCAAGTATACAGAACTAAAAGTTTACAATAATATGTTCAAGCAACAATACCAAAAATACAATAAATAAAGTAATTGACAGAAATTTGAAAAAAGTGAGAAAATTAAATATACCTCCCCAAATTGGAGAAGGTAAAGATACCCTTCCAAATTTAAAGAAGGTACAATATCTTCTCATATACCTCTTCCTTTGGAGCTGAAATTCTATTTTTTTAAAAATGGTAAATATGGCAATTATTACTCCTTACCCTTTCATTTACCTCTTCCCTTACGTGTTTTCTAGTCTAACCGACATTGACTTTCTAATTCAAGTCATAAGAAGTAACAATTTACGTGCGGAGAACCTCTTATATAATAAGAATGCTGAATTCACCTGCTCATCTGTTTTATTATTTTTCTATTTTGTCTTGAGCCATGAGCCATTTCCCCTCCTCATCTGTGTGGTTTTAATGGGATTGTTTTTGACAGAAATTTATATTTTTGTTAGGTGTTTACACTCTAGGCTTGGGATCTCTTCTGGTTGGTTTAATGTCAACAATGCTCCTTTTGCTTCCAATGGCGGATCCATAGTGGAAATTCATTGGGGGCACTAACATTGTATGTTGCAAACAAACATTAAACTTTGTACTCTTTATGTTCTTGAAAACACTTATGTCCTAATTTTTTGTGTGCCCCATAAAATACTAGTAAAAGTTATTTTGGAGATATTTTAGGTAGAGTATAAGACTTGTGTTTACCATTATCATTCATTTCTTCTTTGTTGAACTGTGTTTTTATTAGATATTTCAAAGAACAAAAGAATAATCTAGCAATTCAAGCATGCAACAAACTAACAAAGTGAGAACCCTATCACTGTGTTTGGTATAGGGGAGTTGATATTGAAAAGAAAAGACAATGATACAAAAATAATTTTTTTTTATTTGGTTAAAAAATAAAGGAAAAGAAAATTCGAGGAAAAGATAATGAAATGAGAAAATAAAATAAGAAAAGAGGGAAAAATCTACTCCAATTGTGGTAAAGAAAATTAGAAATAATTTCCAATTCCATAACCAAAACATAACATAACGAAAAAACATATTACTTCCCACTAAAATGAAGTGTTGAATGTTGAGTAAAAGTGTTGAATATAAAAGAATACAAAATTTAAATTTATTTAGAGAGATAAATATTCAACTAAACTATAAATTTCTAGATCAATGTCTTAACTTTCTTCAATTTTTCTTTCACGTCTTTCATCATCTATGTCTACTTATGTGGTGGGCTTTCAAAGCTCGATATTTTTGTGTGGGCTGGCGGCACTGCTGATTTTTATTGGGGGCAACACATTATTATACTTTTCAAATTAGAAAATATATTACTAAATTAAACAAAAAAAAGTATTATTTGACTAATTGCTTCTACCTCAAAGCTTATGATGTTAAACGAGGGGGTGATGGAACTATTAATGTGTAAATAATGTGAGGGGATGAAGCCTTTATATTTCAAGAGATGTTGAAGAATGATGTGGAAATCAAGGAACTCTCATTAAAAACTAGTGATTATTAACTTGTGAGTGTTGTTTTTACTATTAACTATGACTCAAAAAAAAACTATGACTACAATGTTTATTGTTGCCTTTTATTATTTGTAATAATTACTCATTATTTTTTTTATTTTTTGTATGTGCACAACTTACTCATCCTTTTTACTTGGCCACCTTAAGGGTCTATTTGGTTGAAAGGAAATGGAAGGGAAGGAAAGGATGCAAGGGAATGGGAAGGGATGAGAGAGCTTTCCATGATCCTTCCCTTGTTTGGTTGGAAGAGGAGGAAAACGTTAATTTTTATTTCTTATTTTTTATATTTTTAATATTTACCAAGGTTCCCATGACATTGATTCCCAATGTCATGAGAACCTTGCCCCATTTCATTTTTATTAATTAATTGTGTATTATTTATTTATTTCAATTATCTTTATTTTTAATAGTTTCCTTTACTTATATATTTATTTTATTATTATTAAAACTACGTCCGTTTCACAAAGTGCCCATCATTAATTGAAAAATGAACATTCAAGGGGGAGTATTGTGAAATAAGTAAATTATTCATCTATTCAATTAGTTAGGATAGAACTCAACCACTAGAGTTCAATAGTATCTTCTTAGGTGTATTAATTAATTATATACGGAGTATTATCAACTAGCACCAAAGTGTATAGCTCATCCTCCACGTGTAGAAGTGTTCAACTTGAAGTGTATTAGTCTTTCTCCTAAGCCTCTACATTATAATTAAAGGCTTAGTTTCATGAAATTAAGACCATGAAGAAGAGAGAAATATCAATAGAGAGAAGAAATTAGAAATAAATCATATCTATCTTCATAATATTTAAATATTTTTCTTCTTATTTATAACAGTCATAAGCAAAGAAACAAGAAAAAACCAAAAAAAGGAAAGTGCAGCACAAAATCAACGAGAAAACAGGAAGGGGAACCCATCTTTCCCGCTAGGGGGCGGTGTTCTCATTCTTCCCCTTAGGTGCCACATGGGCTTCTTGCATCTCTTTGTGGATGCATACCCTTCAGCTTAAGAACATTCACAATGGCAAGTAAGAAATAGAATGACACACGATGATATGGAAGATTTCAACCATGTTCTTATCAATTTTAGATTTTTTCACATGTTTTAATTATTTAAGTTTATTTTGTTTATATTTTTTTCAAATAAAAATAAATATACTCCTTTTAAAAATATTTCTTATTTAACAAAAAATAAATAAATTAAAAAATTTAAAAAAAAATTAAAAAAATTAAAAAGATGAAAAGGAGTTGCCTCACGTTTGACACGGAGAAAGGGGTGAAATTGCTTTGCCTCGCCTCATCCACACATGGTATAGCTGATCTGGCAGGGCGTGGGAGTAATTCACCACGCCGCTGCACATGCTCTAATCGATCTACTTTCCATGTGGGCCATACATGATTTCTTTCAAAAAAACATATTTTATCTATACACTTTTTAAAATTATTTTTCAATTTTATACTCCCTTCATACATTTTTTATGTTTCAAGCTACTATTACAATTTTTCGATAATTTATCTGTTTGCGCATTTTTATTAGTCCTATACTCCTATGATATGAAATAATATCCTACTCACATCTTGTTTTATAAAACTTTTGATATAATTTTAAACATTGTAATTTGTATTTTTATTGATATACCAATTTGTAAATAAAACAATTTAAAAAGATGAGGTTCATCCGTTGTTCGAAATGGAAAGAAAATGGGATGGAAGTATTTCATTAATCAGTACTTATACTATATATTTTCATTTTTAATAAAAAATTTAAAAAAATAAGATTTATTGTATATTTTACCATTTAAATAAAAACATGTCTTAGATCACAAATTAGAATTTGATTAAACTAAAACTTAACTATTTAAGAAAATGAAAAAAAAAATCATTAAAAACTAAAAATTGGAGATAAAAACCCACAACATTTATAATTAAAAAAAACATTCCCTAAAAAAACCTCTTTTCCAGGGAATATTACACACACATAGGGACCGGCCACCTTAGCCAATGACTTCCTAGGGACCATATATACCCTGTGTACTTTGGCTTGTAAGGCTGGAATTAGCCTGGAAGACGTACTCTTGCAGTTATATACTTCTATGTGCATTTGTTATTTGTTTCATTAAAGTCCTCCGTCACTATCCACGCTACATTAGCCTCTTATCCTTCAAAATAGAAGAACGCATCAAGCATAGGCCTTGACACCAGTGAAGCGTGCCACGGAGTGGCATTACTCCAAAGTGTAATATTATAACTGCCACATCAATATATACGGGGGGCGTGGAGGAGGAAAAGGAAAAGGAAGTTATTCGCTTGAACACAAGTAAAATGTCATCTACAAAATCTACTTGGATCAAATGTGGTAACTGATCTACTCCATACCAACTTGTTAAGGAAATGAAAATTGTGAAGTTAACATTTATACTAACTAGTAAAAGAGAAAGAAAAAACATAAAACACGTATAGAAAAAGAAAAAAATAAAGGAAGCGCTATATGTTTTCTCTTTTAAATAATGAAGATGAATAAAACAGGTACAGAGAAGCTATGTGAATGGTTATATCAAAACAGAATTTAAAAGGAGGGAACGAGGGCAATTTGGTCACTAGAACCCAAAAATCTGCATAAATGACAGCAAGATCATACCTACCAGCAAAAGACAATTTGTAGACGTGACGCCCCAGAGAGAGTTAAACTTTGTGGAAAGACAAAATAGCGCACAAGCTGACGAGCAGTAAGCAAAATGGCTTCTAAAGGTCTCAAACTCACTCTCAGTTTGTGGTGTCAGCTGTATCATCCCCATTTTTACTTATTCAGTGTGAGTCTATGTCTGTGTCCGTGTCAGCATTTGATGGTGGCGACCATTTGGAGGACCTCAGCATACGCTTGCAAAACCTGTAGTATTTTGTTTTTTTTAAATTTACCAATATCAATAATAATAATAGTTGAATTTAACACAGAATGAGCATGTATGTTGCATCGGTTATAGATAATGCAACCAAAAACATAATTGCTCTTTATGTCTAATCTCTCGCTTCTTGTTTTTTAATAGCTTCGTCTAAAGAATTATTATATAAATGTTAATAATTTCAGAACCTTCAATAAAATCCATGCAGTGAAATTCAGATGATAAAACCCTCCAATCCTCCCTTTGGTCTTCATCTACTGCACTTTTTGAATTTTTTTACCCTAATCATCTCCTTAAGTAAATATAAGGCGCATTAATTTCTTCTTTCCAAAAATTACCTTTCAAAAACGAATTCCCCTTAACGAAACATAAAGTGCTGCAATAAATGCAGTGTCATGGTGAGTTCATAGCTAAGGGCAAATTTGGCAAGACTAAATAAAGTGCTAATAAATGGGAAGTTGGGAACGGAATACGAACTGGAGGGAGGGGGGATAATGTAAGATGATAAACATACGCGTCAAGAATCTCAGCTTTTCTCTTGATATCACTTGACCACAGTACTGGATTGGCATTTTTGGGCAATGCATCCTGTTGTTGGGACTTTTCTCTAAGCCACTGCTCTGCTTGATTGCACTCACTGACGACCTGGAAAGGAAATATTCATGAAACTATTATGAAACATAAAAATCATATTTTCTGCATGTTATTTATCTTTTTTTTTAAAGTCACCACGTACATTATCTTTCTCACTAGCTGGAAGAGATTCTGCAGCAGTTCGATATTCCACTATGCAATGTAGTAGATTTCGTGTTTCTTGTGCACGTGCCTCTTCGTCCATATATCTTTGTTCAACTGGGTCTATAATCTGATAGACAACAGACATTAAGAAAATCAAGGTAGTATCTGTTTTGAATCCTGAAAATACCACGGAAAAATGTAGGAAGGAAAACCTAGAAAATTTTAAGGGAAAGAAAATGTGGGGGAGGAAAAAAAAGATATACTCGTGTATTAAAACTCAATGAATACATTTTTTATCTTTTTTATATTCAATATATTGATTCCTATTTAATGTAAAGGCTAATATAAATATATGTAGAAAATTAAAAAACAATCATATTTTGCTTTCCTTTGCATCTCCTAAGGTAGAACCAAACACTGAAACACAAATAAATTTCCTTGGCGTTTTCCATTATTCAAACATACCCTTTATGGGAAAAGTAGAAATAAAATATATTGAGTATAAAGTTAACAGCTGATAATGACCTTTTTAAGACCCTCTAGCTTTTGGGAATATATTTGTTCAGACTCATCATCTCCATCTTCATAGAGCCAGTCTTCAGTCTGCTGCAGATTACTACATATATCCTCTCTTTCTGAATCAGTCGCAAAGCTCCGATATGTGCTCAGAAGCTATATGCAAATGAACATCATGTCAAACATTGATAAAAGTTACTGACTTATTTGGTTGGGGATTTTGTATGGAAGAAGATTAGTTTTTGTTTTACTAAATTATCTTTATTTCAACTATTTGTATATTTAGTTTACTGACTTTACTCAACAAGGTACAAGCTTTTACAGGTTAAGCGTGGTCACTTATACCTGCACCACTCATACCCCTAAAACTCATTTACAAGATCTTTTAGAAGTAATTGACTAAAATTGATTGCCGCTTACAGAAATTTTAGTAAAATGAAAGTTTTTAAAACCTGGCTCTTTTTTGGACAAAAAAGGTTCCAAGGAGTATATCTTTGGTTAAATGACTACATCATGAATTTCTATATAATTTTTCATCTTCACTTTCTTCCCAACCATATAACATAAGAATACATCAATAAAATGAAAATCACTCATTCCCTTCCCAAAAACATGGCCTAAAGAGTGTTTTGTGGACATAGAATATGTTGAGATGGTCTAGGAATCTCACCAAGACTGTGAACTTGTCAATTGTCATGAGAAGTCTAACATTCAGTTATGGTACAAATAGAACATCCATGAATAATGGGGGGCAAAAAGATTGAGTCTCAACCTTATTACGAGTCTCATAGACATAGGCCTCCAGAGTGTTTTTCTTATCTTTAGTCCGCTCCACCTTCTTGTCATGCTCTGCCAATTGATGTTCTATATCACACGCTCTGCACAGCTCTGCTTGTGTTATTGCACCATCCACATGTTCAGTAAAAGGTATTTCCAACCTCTTGATAGACTTACCCTTTTTAGTTTTATCACCCTGCAAAAATGTATCTACATGGTTCATGATGATGATTACGATGATAATATAATGATGTTTAACACTTGCACCAGAAAAAGAGATTTTGACTAAGCAAATTCAACATGAAATGATAAGATCTTTTCAAGTGAAACAAAACAGGAAATAAATTCAAAGTATTTCCAGGTAATTTGGAAGACAATAATTCTAAACACTTTCTCAAAGATACTCCGTACTTCCATGAAAAATAAGTTTCCTTTGGGGTGGGGGCTCAAATAAAGTTGGAACTTGGGGGCTGAGCAAACAGACAATGTGACGAGCAGATGACATTAGACATGTATACAGACAGAGTTATTTGACTGCTATTGTAATTCAGCAATGAGTCTCAGTTATGAACAGCCTGATTAGTTATCATTGACTTCTTTCATCCCAATGCGTGTTATATATATATATATATATATACACACACACACACACACACATACACACACACACACATATATATACTCCCTCCGTCCACAAATAAACTTTACATTACGCGTTACGATGTTTGACTAAAGTTATTTTCAAATCATTTTATATAAAAAATGGTGTAAAATTGAAAAATAAAAATTACATATTAAAAAACTATATCAAAAGATCTACAAAACTAGAGGTGACATGACTATATTATTTTATCAAATGGGTGACGAAAATAGGCCAACAAAGTGAATAAAGTTTGACCCTGTGAATAGTGAACGTAAAGTTTATTTATGGACAGAGGGAGTAAATAGACACACACACATACATTATACATATATATATATTATACATCGTGGGTCACAAGTTTAAGTCAAATCTTTTTAAACATTTTAAGTTAGGCTTTCAAAATAATTGGGCAGCACTAAAAAAACTGGGTTTTCATAATTTTAAAGGGCCCAGGCGTAAAGGCGAGAGTAAGGCGACGTAAGGAGAAGTAAGGCGAGCGCCTAAATGCCTTACGGTTATCTGGGCGAGGCGAGCAGACTAGGCGCCCAAGGGACAGCACCTTATCGCCTAGGCGACGCCTAACAAACTATGGTTGACACTTTCTGCACTTGGATAATAGAATAATAAAAAAGGCTACATTTCCTTGAGGAACTCTTTTAAGACTTAAATGCAATAGAAAAAAACAGTTTTATTCGCAAGTGTAGGAATTGCCTAAAGAAGCAAAAGATAAAGATTAGCTCAAGCGGGAAGTCACATGAAAGAAGCTGCATTTTTATAAATCTTAGAGATTAAGAGCAGGCTCTTCAACTCATTCCGAAACTGTTAGACTACAGAATAGGATCACTTGCCAGAAATCCCAGAATCCACAAGAAACAAGATTGCTTACCTCATTGTTATCTGAAAATGTGTCTTCTGTGGAAAGATCAGCTACTTGATCCTCTACAAGCTGAATGAATGAAACAAAGACAATCAAGAAATATCAAATCTCCAAGGCAATTATACTCCGTACTTGACAAGTGGACTTTAAATCAATACTTACTGACACCGAATCAATTTCAACAAGCCCATGTACATTGAGCTGAACTCTGACTTTAACCCTTGTTTTTTCTGAAGAGGAAACTTGGAAAGGGCCGATCTAAAAGAAAATCACTGGATAAGTATTACTTAGTAAATTAAAAACTCAAATCATAGTTCCAAAATTAAAACTTTATTCCCTGATCACTGTACGCTTTTCAACAAAACCCACCAAAATAATGTCACATGTTTGGTGATGCATTGAATAAGGCTCAAGACATCAGTTCAAAAAAAAACATGGAAGCAATGTGTCATAAGATGATTATGTACAGGATCACCACAGAAACTATAATTCTGCATTTATGCTGCTACATGAGAATGAAAAAAACAAACCTACTCCATCCATCCCAAAGAAAACTTCACACTTTCCTTTTTCGGATGTCGCAAATAAACTTCACACTTTTACTTTTTCCTTGAGAAGAAGGAAGATTTCGCTTACAAAGTTTCTCTCTTTTAAACAAATTTCAACCACACACTTTTTACTTTTCAACTACTTTATTGAGCTCCGTAAAGTCAAAACATGAAGTTCTTTTCAGCACTATGTCCAAATTGATAAAAGCAGCAGCATCAACAAAATCTTAAATCCTACTTTCAACATTTAACTCCCATACAAGTGGACCGTGGAAAATAGTACTAAATAAGAGAGGTTGCTACCGTAAAAGAGCATATTTTAGTAGATACACCAGAGGGTAGCTCAACTTGGTGCGTGTAAAAGGCTTCCATGTGGAATGATTTGCTCCGGTGCAGCGTAAGTATCTTCATACTTGGAAAAAGGTGGCCTTTAGGAAACAGTGTACCATTTGATGGTGAGCAAATTGGAACTCCGTCTGATGCAAACCCTATGGAAAAAGGATATGAATCCTGCACCTACAATGAGGGTTCATTCAAAGATTCAAATTAATGCTTGTAAAACCTAACAAAATTTATGAAAGTTCCATTCTCAAATGTCCTCAAATAACTCTAGGAAACCAACAATTAAGAGGCTGGTCAAAAAGAAGTATTTAGTTGGCAAGAGCTCTCCAGCAAATAGTTCTCTAATCAGAAATGATTTCTACTCTTTCACAAGGAAGAAAAATGTATAAATTGGATATATTCAGTTTTAGGGAATCAAGAACCTCCGTTAAGTATTTGGCTAGCATCAATCATTAATTTTTTCCATATTTGTGTAGAGTAAAATCTCTTTATGCTTTTTTAAACCCCAGTAGAGAAGTAAAAGCTCTATTACTCCCATTGCAGAAACATACCCTATCATAATTAGATGATTCATTTAATCATATACTCCGTATATTTTGGTCGAAACAGTTCTAGCAGTTTTTGAAGTAATGAGAGATGGTTAGGTTGTTTTCTTATCACTGTAATGAATATCGAGTATATATATATATATACACACACACACACACATATATATAGAGTGTGTGTGTGTGTGTGGGTGTGTGAGTGTCCATACAAGTCAGTAATCTGTAAGAGTCTATTGGATGGAGGTTTTTTAAGGAGTTTGGAGAGGAGAAGCGCTTAGTCTATATGCAATGATAAACAGAACTGAATGTGAACCGATAAATAAAAGTTAGTTGATGAAATGTTGTGTTAATCTTTCAATTTTTATAAAACTCAACAACCAACTCTGTGGATTCCCACAAGTGGGTGTATGCAAAACTTACCCTACCTATAAGGTAGAAAGGTTGTATCCAAAAGAACCCCGTCTCAAAGACTCCAAACACCTTCATCCAAACTAGTCCTAAGTAACTAATATACAACCAAAAGAAAGAACTAAGGAAGAATAGAGTAGTCCATGTCAAGAGACAAACCTCAAACTCCCTAACACGAAATGCCGGGCTAAGCATTGCAGCCTGAAGAGCACACCCCCGTGCAACACACTCACTAGCGTTCAAAGTGCGAGTAGGTTCTTTCCCGAAGAGCTGACTTAAAACTTTAGTAATGGCAGGTATACGAGACCCAGATCCCACAAGTTCGATATTGTGAATGTTATCCAAATGCAAGCCAGATTCCCTTAAAGCATGTCTACAAGGAACAGAGATCCTTTCCAACAAAACTGATGATAGCTTCTCAAATTCCTCTCTCCGAATATAACCCTTAACATCTTTTTCATCCATCAAACACTCAATATTCAGTGGTGCTTCTGCATTTGCACTCAATACTTTCTTCAATCTCTCGCATGC